TCCACGAGAATGGGAACCAAAATTCAAACATCTTCAGATTTCTAGGGATAGGCCTTTCAGAAGTTTTCTTTCTTTTTCCTTAAATCAATCAATACTTGTTTTTTTCTTTGGAGCATTTAAGCTGTAAAATGAACATTGTACCTGTAGATTGTTAAGTGAGGTGACATTGGTCTGTTCAGACGAGTGTTTTTGGACCAAAAGTCTTCCTGCTTTCGAGCCAAGGACGAAGTAGTGATTGGAATACTGAAAAACATTTAAAAAATAATGTTTGCATAATAATATTAAAAAAAAGAAACAAGGAGTAAAAGCAAAGTAAATTAAAGACATGCTAGATGACACACACAACTATCCAATCCACTTTACCTTCGCATTAGCGCAAATGAAGGTCGATAGCACCCTTTGACTAACACTGAAGGAAGCCTGGATGAGTTCCTAAGTAATTAAGAAACGATTTAGCAACAACAGTGACTGAAAATCGACAAACATTTAGCTCGTAGTTTGCCACAAACCTCAGAAGAGCCGCCATCTTGCAATACTACCGTAATGTATTATGGGAAATATAGGAATGATGAAATTTTGTGAAAATGTTTTGGAGAAGAATCCAAGAAATTTGAAAGAAATTTGGAAGATACCAATAGCCTTCAAGTATTTTGCTTCTTGACCCCTAGGAGTATTTCCTTTTTTTTTCTTAAAAAAAGCAATAATGTTTTTATTTTGTGCACTATTGCGTGTTACCCATGAATCTTTTAGAGCCTCGAATCGTGAGAAGCCGCACGCGTTACGTAAGAGAGAGCTGGGACGGAATTAAATTAGCAAGATGGCGGCGATATTTTACTCTCGTCTTTGTATAAGAAACAGTGGTCGTTTAGGTCAGAACTTACCATTCTTCGAATGTAAATATACGAGAGTTTTCGTAATTGATTCTTTGTTTTCTTATCAACAGCGAGTTCACTTGCACGGCCTGCTTTTGCTTCCTCGCCTAATTCTTGCTCACCGAGAGTTCAAAGTGGTAAGTTACACAATTTTGTCAGGAGTCTGAATGCTTAGAATGAGATCTTTACTTATTTTATTTGTATGATATTTTTGTTTTTTAGTGGTTTTCAAAAAGACAGTGCATTCCTCGGCAAATCGCAAAGCTGAGCTTGGTAAGTAAGAGAAAAGTTTTCGTGTACATTTTGTAGTGAAAATTTAAGATTTAACTCTTGTACAATGTTGTTATCATAACAGAGGATAGGTAAGAAGTCTGAAATTGCTTCTTCAATAGCTAATTTTAAAAAAAATCTAAAAATATAGAGTAAAATAAGAGTTTATTCCCGATTTAAAAAATTGCTGCTGTATTTTATTAAAGTGGGTATTCTGAGTATCATGTCAATTAATTAATATTCACTGACTGAAATAATTGTTTTAGTATTTACTAAGACGATTATTGTTACAACCACTGAGCTATCAGAGAAACCAGACAAAATGTGCAGAGACAATATTCTTTTTTTTACCCTTATCAGAAATTTCCCCATCACAGCCATCAGCCCATTGGAAGGGAGAGCGCTATGTCAGTGTGGCACTGCTGACATTGATTCCTGCAGGAATCATTTACCCATCAGCTGTTGTGGACTGGGCTCTAGCAGTTGTTGTTCCTCTTCATAACCACTGGTAAGTCATCTGATCAGTAGTTCCTGTTTCCATAGCTCACTCTAGGTGAATCAATCATAGCCTTTGAAACTTCTGATCAAGTATTGATATGTCCAAGCCTCTAGCACAGGAAATTTTTCTCACAAATTATTTGCTTTCAAAAATATTCCTTTCAATATGGAGTACCTTGACAATTTACATTCTCCATCAATTTATTGAAAAACTTTGAAAATTGTTAACTTAGAGAGTATTTGAATAACAATCTGTCTCAAAAATATTGCCAATGTGGCCAGAGAGAACTAAACTGCAAACAGCAGTTGTACTAGCTTGCGGTCTGATGTTGGCTTGCTGCAGTGTCCTGAACTTTATTATGATTGGTCAGTAAGCAGTTGATGTTACAAAATAAAATCAAAGTGTTCATGGTTTATCAATATTGTAGTGTCATGACAAGGAGTGGACTTTGAACTTTGAACGAGATCAGAAGACTTTTTGTAATAGACAGGATTCCTTTGTGCTATCAAGAGTTTTAGTATATGTTTTGAAAAAAAGTTAAAAAACCAAGAGATTGTGAGGTCCTTTGTTGGTGTCAGCTAATTTCTGACAATCTCCATTATTCTGGACCTTAGCATAATATTCTTTATCAATCCACAGGGGTGTAGGCCAAGTGTTAACTGACTACATTCATGGTTCATCTATGCCAAAAGTGGCCAAGGGAATTTGGCTGGCTGTGTCAATCTTACAGTTTATTGGCCTGTGTTATTTCAATTATGCTGATGTTGGAATCTGCAAAGCTGTCAGTATGATTTGGCATATGTAACAACTGATATAGATTGTAAAGTTTGGATTAATGTCAGTATCTAAGCAACTGAACACCTACCCCTCCGTAACCCAATATTAACCCTAACTTTTCATCAGTTGACTGTTTAAGGTTATAGGGGAGGGGTAGGTACACAGGTTCTCAGTTACAGACATTGATCCTAAAGTTGAATATTTTTTCATTTGATCTGATATGGATGACATGGTTGAATTTCATGTTCATGGACACCCTTCCTTTTAGGAAGGGTATTTACATAAATAAGTTGTTAAAGTGCTGTTATGGTCACATCTTATGGTGATCCACTACTTACCAAGGTCTGTATCAGATTATCAAAATCCAGAATTGTACAATACTTTTCTTTGTAACTAACAGCAGTCTAGGAGGATTTGAGGGAGTTCATCAAGCTTTAAAGATGGGAAATTCTTCAGCTTCTATGGAGAATTCTCTGGCGAAATTGTGATGGCCTAAGCTAGTTTTTATTCAGACTTGGAGATCTTATTACCCTTTTAAAGCCTAAGAATGACCAGCATCTTATTTCTCCTTACAGTCATACAGAGATAACTGTAAGCATTGACTGATTAGTCTGTTTGTGACAATCAAGTTTTATTCAAAGCCAGATGGCTGTTTTTTTTTATGCAATGATACTTAAAGTCAATCAAAGTCATAACTACTGACTGTAAGATGCTGACCAAGATCCTTCATCTCTATCGCAAAAATAGTTCTAAAAAGTCATCTCTATATTGCGGTATTAGCCAGAAAATGCATTCTCTATGGCTTTAGGTCTTGTTACAGCCCATAATATTCACACATGATTAGCACAGGCAAGTTGAGAATTGATAGCTTTTTTTTACAGCTGGAGCTTTCCATAGTTATTGAATTTTCAGTATGCTTAAATAAGTAACTCAGAGCAGCAAAATAAGGAGTGATTAATATTGGGGTGCAGCAATATTTAACAGAAATTAATAAATTCTGTAGTTTTGTTGTAAGCATATGATTGTGAAATTTCAACTTGCAAGGGCTCAAACCTCCTTGGAGACTCGACTCTGATGTTTTTCCCTGCTCCCACTTTCTCCACAAATGTCAAACTTTTTTCTCCTATATGACCAAGTTCAAAATTTAAGATCTTCTTAATCAGAAATTCCAAAGGAAGAAGTCCAAGAAATTCATATTTTCCTCAAAAAAAAGTCAACGGGTTATCCCTCTCCGCGTCTTTCATTCGTCAGTTTCGTGGACCCCATAGTCATAAAAAACGCTCCCGTCTCCCTCTCCTACAGTGGATTCTTTTATTTCCTTAGTCTCCAAGCCTGCCTGAAAATTACCTGGTTACCAAGACCTGCACCTGTTCTTCCACGGCTCGTCATGTAAAAATTTACTTCCTTTAAAACAAAAGATCAAGTGATCAGACGGTAGCGAGGTTTTACTATGATATGGTTCTTAAGAATGAAAAGGAATTCCCGCGGTAGTATTGTTAAATTGTGGTGAAATCGAAGACGTAGAGGTAAAGAAAATTGTCGCTACGCGCGAACCTTGATCGAGTGGGTGATTCTTCACATAACCGTGAAATGATCTGTTACTGCATTGTGGCATAACTTCAAAAGGAAATAAAATAAGATAGACAAACTTCTGTGATAAACCAGCATGGAATTCGATCACGTTTTGCGGATAATTGGAGAATTTGGTCCACATCAAAGAAGGTTGTATGCGTTGCTTAATTTATCGCTTATTCCCGCCGCATTTCAACTGCTATTACAAGTGTTTGTTGGAGCCGAACCAAAATGGATTTGTTTGAATTCTTTGTCGAATGAAACATGCCCTAGGAATAAATCACACTGTTCGGAAGTCCAGTACACTTCAGAATTTACTTCAATCGTCACAGAGGTGAGATCAGTACTAATTTTTATTTTTAATCTTTATTCGATAATTTTCTTTTTTTGCACTGCACAGAGTGTAGTATAAATTAGCATTTTGGCTCCGATAAAACATTTAATGAACCAATTTTATGCATGAACGATAAAGCTTTCTTGACGAATTTTTGTGTAACTTGTATTGACTTCTTTAGAGTCAAATGTTTTCCAAGTTGTGGATTCTCACACCATATATCGTGATTTCTTTTTTTTTTTTAATAACCTTGTCATAATTTTTATCGTTGCTAAGTTATGCACTTGCTCTAATAAAATTCCCTCCCGCTGAATATTTTTAGCGGATCACTTTTGCTCTGCAGTCCATTGTTTTTCATTTTTGGTACTGTCTATTTTCCAATTCGAACGTGTTTGTAGCACAGAAAAAGTCAGAATATTTTAAAATTTTTTATACTATTGGGTCTATCAACTCATTCATTTGCCGCCTTTACGGTCCATCGCACATTCAGCTCTTCAAAGGATCTTTACTATTGAATTACATAGAATAATTTAATTTAGAGGGGGTAAAACGCAGTATAGTTGTAAATTGGTATTAATATTTCGTCTCTCTCGAATAACAAATAACTTATAACTAAAAAAAGGTTTTTTAAAAATGATTAAAACACAAAAAAAAGTAATGATAAAAATATTACACAATTAACCCTTTAACTCCCAAGATCTGATTGTTAATTCTCCCCTCCAGCTGCTACACATTTCCCTGTAAATTAGTGATAAGAATTTGGTGGTAGATGATAACAACCTGATAAGTTTTAGTATTCTCATTACCCATTTATTGGATAGTATATGTATATATTAGGGGGAAGTTACATGTTAATCACTTCTGTGAGTTAAAGGGTTCATGATCTAAAAAAAATTGGGTTGAAAATATAAATTTATGGTATTATAAAATGATCAGAGTCTATTTACATTATTCTGGAAAAAATTAAAATAGTTTTGCTTAAAAAGCAAATGGTGAAGCTTTATCTTTTAATTACTGAATAAAAGTTTTGAAATGGGTATTACACATATTGCCTAATTTATTGATAATATTATCCACAGTTCATCCCTTTTGGAATGGGAATGGACAGGAAGATCCAACTTCTTACTTGCCCCTTCCCTTGGCTACAGACACACTGTAACTACAATATTATTATCAATTGAAAATGAATTAACTTCTTCAAGATAATTAAGTCAACCCTTAAAACCCTTAAGAGTGACTGGCATCTTATTTCTCCTTACAAAATCACCCCTGAATAAAACATTACAGTCATGAGAATAATGGAAATGATCAACAGCTAAAGAAGCTCTTGATTGTTAAACAAATTCTCCTTTTCAGAACTGAAAGAAAAGTTCAGAGAACATATGGAGAATATATATACTGATGACAAATTTGATCTGGGAGTTAAAGGGTTAAACCAACATTATGATGCATGAGACCCAATCAACTCTAACTGAAAAGAGAGTAATATTATTTGAATAATTAATTGTGATAAATTATTTTAAATATGTGAATGTTTTTAATTTTCAGTGGAACCTGATATGTGAAAATTCATACAAAGTGGATTTAGTTCAATCTGTTCTCATGGCTGGGACTTTAGTAGGTGCTGTTATCCTTGGAGCCTTGGCCGATAAATGCGGAAGAAGGAAAATTTGGTACATTTCATTCACCGGGCTTGTTTTATTTGGCTTTGCAAGTTCATTTGCTCCAACATACAGAATATATGCTTTATTGCGATTTTTGACTGGATTTTGCATTGGTGGTGAAATATTATCTGCCTTTGTGTTGGCAACAGAACTGATTGGTCCGTCTTACAGAGGGTTTGCTGGCACTATGGCGCAATGTTTCTTTACCTGTGGGCTTTTAATTCTCCCAATTGTTGCATATTTAATTCGTGACTGGAGGACATTGTCTGTTCTTCTGTCTTTGCCATTTTGTGTTTTTATATTATTTTTTAGGTAAGTACAAATTCTTTTTTCAATTCTTAGTTGTTTTGACTCAGCAGGTTACAGTGATATTAGTTTTGGAAGCAATCACTGTACAGAAATTTGTCTTTTACTGTGACCTTAACTTAATTTATTTATGGTCTCACTCATTTGGCAATGGGAAAGCAAATATTTTTGGATAATCTCTTGAGTTAATTCAAGCTTGAACTTTGAAAAAAACAATGAGAATCTTATGACTTTTACATCAGATATTGAAGTCTGAAAATAACTTCTTTAAAAGTGTTGAGGTAAGGTGAAGCTTTAACTCCCAGAAGTGATTTACATGTAATTTCTCCCTATAATATCCAGACATTATCCAGCAAGCAGGTAATGAGAATTATCAAACTAATCAGGTGGAGGTTTTTGTCTTGATCTAACACCAGATTCTTATGACTAATTTATAAGGAAATGAATAGAAACCAGAAAGGAGAATTACCAAACAGATCTTGGTAGTTAAGAAATGAGCCATTAACTGGCTGAGTTTTAAAAATGTAATATTGTTACTATCACAGAATTGTTCCTGAATCAGCTCGCTGGCTTATAATCCGTGGTCGCCTGGCAGAAGCTGAGGATATCTTATCCAGTATAGCAAGAAAAAATGGTATAGCTGTCCCGAAGATTCTGTTACAAGTCAGTCGTCCACTGTCTGTTGTTGGAAACAGATATGGCTGCTTAGACCTTCTTTCCAATATGAAGATTGCTAAAATCACAATAGTCTTATTCTACTTGTGGTGAGCGTCTTTGATGTTTAGAATTCATGTTATAGTCACTTGTAGTCTGCAATATAGCTTTGTTTATAGCTTAGCACGTGATACCTAGAAGAGTTTGATCAGCTCTTCTTACATAGAAATACTTAACAATCTAGAACATTCTATATACTATTACATCATGTTCTATTTATAAATTAGGGACAGCTTGACTAAGCGTGATAAATCATAACAGACAATGGAACATGTTAATATTTTGGAGCATTCAAAATATCAATCTAGACATGCATCTTGTGTACTTTAAATTAGATAGCCTTGGTCAGTGTGTTGACTGAGTTTCAATTGGTATCTTAGCCAGTAAATGATCACTATATCAGTTGATATTTAGTGGACTGTCAGTCAAAAGGTATTTAGAGTGTTGGCTGATAGAGTCCTATTGAGAGTCTTCAATGTCCTTATAGTTACCTGAAATCCTACTCGATACAGTAGCAGAAGTGTCAGTTGATCATTTGCTGGCTGCCTTGTAGTTGACTGATAGAGAGTCTCAATAAGAGTCTCAAGGTCCCTACAGTTACCTGACATCCTACTTGATACATTAGCACAAGAGTCAGTTGATCATCCACTGGCTGCCTGCCAGTTTGACCCTCTGCAAACTCTGGACCAAATACTTAACAACCAATATTTTGTGCTGCATATATTAAATTTAATGAACTTTGGTTAGTCTCTTTACTCCAAAATTTTTTCTGTTTTAGGTTTGTGAATACACTGGTTTATTACGGCTTATCACTAAACACAAAGCATTTGGGTGGTGACATTTACAAGAACTTTTTTTTATCAAGCCTCATGGAAGTTCCTGCATACTTGACAAGTGTTTGTCTTATCAACTGGTGAGGAGTTCTTGAATTAATTTTAAATAACATCATTTACAATAATAATTATTGTAGATGGTTTTGTCGGTTTTTTTGGTACCAGAAATTTGGAGGAAAAGTAATTGAAGAGAAGTCTTTACTGGAGCCAAGTCACCCAACCAGTCAGAGCTTATCCTGATTTTCCTTACCATGGGGTGACTAGGAGTATCACTACTCCCCCCTGGATGGAATGTTAGTCCATCACAAGGTTACCCCTCGGCATTTCATCAGGCTTCCCTGACGATGCCCTTGTGCTCATTTATACTCCTGGGTTTAGAGAGGCTCTGTGGGAGTAAAGTATTTTGCCTATAAGAACACAACACAATGACCCATCCAGGTCTTGAACCCAGACCTCGTAACCCAGAGTCCAGGGCACTGAGCATAAAAAGGCCACCAGGTTGAATCCTTAAAGGGAAAGAAGGGGGTGTTTAAAAGCAAATGTTTTTTTACTCCCTTGGGTGGCCAAAACAGAATTTCTCCTTACAATGTC